AGATACGAATCCAACGGTTAGGTCCGTTGTGTCATATGAGCTCTAGGAAAATATAGATTTTAAACCTGCATTATAATGGCAAATTACCATTTTACCATTTTTTATAAAAAGTTTAAATTTTTCCGAGTTTTACATAACTGGTCAGAGTATCTAGCCTTTGCCAAAGGCTTAGCAGATCAACTCACCTCTGCTGGGAAAGCTATTGATGGTGATGATCTTGTCTCTACTCTCTTAAGTGGACTAAATTAAGCCTCTATTCCATTTCAAAATTCAATCAACCTTGCCACTTGCGAGCACAGTACGTCATTTATGGATTTTTAGGCTAAACTTCTTTCATTTGAGATTCTTCTTGAGTGTCATCAACGTGAGGTGCCACATGAAAACTCCTTTGCTTTGGTTGCCCACCAAACTTGTTAACACTGCCAGCAAAATACCAAGACCAAAAATGCCTCTAATCAAAATCCCGTTAGTCAATTACAACCATCACCTACTAGTTCAAACCATCATATCATAGGAGACTCAAAAAATCATGAAGCTTGTAAAATTTATGGCAAACTTAGTCACAATTCACAAAGTGTTGAACTATTTTCACCGCTTTGATTATTCTTATCAAGGTTGGCATCCTCCTCACCAACTAGCAACAATGATTAATCGAAAAAAATGCTACTCTAAGGGCTAAGGGTCATGCTGCTTCTAGTGCTGATACTTGGTATTCTAATAATAGGGCGAATCAACACATTACTATGCATCTTGAGCAACTCTTCCTTCCACGATCATGCACTGGAAATGAACACAATGATGTTGGTAATGACTTTGGCTTGGAGATTTCCCATATTGGTTCTGTCCTCATTGACTCTAATTCATCACCCCTTTTAATGTTGCATGCGTTACATTGTCCTAACACCTTTGCTAATCTATTCTCTAATAACCAATTTTTCATTGAGAATCATTGTCTCTTTCTTCTTACTAGTTCTCTTTATTCCATTCATTTTTTACAAATGGGATAAATATTGCTCCAAGGCAAGAATGAAGAAGGCATTTACCCTATCTGCCTGCAGAAATCAGTTTCTCATAAACACAATAATTTCACTGTTTTCTTTGGCGTCAAAGCTCCAATCCAAGTGTGGTGTTCCCGACTCAGACATCCTTCACATCCTATTGTTTCTCATTTAATCAAGCATAATAGTTTACCATTTAGCGATTCATTGAATAAAATTGGTGTATGTGAACCTTGCCAATTAGGTTCACATACATCCCTTTTGAACTTATTCATTCTGATGTTTGGTCTTATTCAACAAATTTGATTGGTGGTTCTTTATGTTATGTTATATTTGTTGATGATTGTTGGTGCAGAAATCTACCCTAACCTTTGTGCAAGTTGATAAGCTGGTCTCCTTGATCTTTGTAACCCTTTCAAGTGATTCAAATAGTTTGGCAGAATGTAGATTTAGCTTTCTGGGACTTCAAAAGAAGGTTTTACAAGCTGGAACACCTTTAAAACAAGACGAACAGCGAAGGGGGAGCTCTAGGGGTCGACCATTCGATCCTTAAGTTAGTGTTTATAGGAAGGGATCTCAAGGTATTTGCTTGAAAAGTTCTTACGTATATTTGGTCTAGCTCTAGGCTCCCCTTTTATAGTGTTTTTGGATGAATAATGGGGAAGAAGTTCACTCTAGGCTCCTTCGTTTGTTATTGGAGGTTAACTCTCCTCTCTTTTGTGGAGTCTTTCCTTCTTGATATGTGCAGGACTCTCATTTTGGTTGGAGTTTGTCTCTTCAAGTGGTGGGAAGGACTCCTACTTATAAGGGAGTCTTTTGAATCTCAAACATGCTTGATAAAAAGTCAAGGACTCCTTTGAATTGAGGAATGTCCACATTTTAACTATTTATCCCCTACAAGCATGTTGTTGAACTTAACTTAAAGGCCTTTTGTTGTTTGAATTGCATATAAAGTGATCCTTAACATCCCCTTTACGTGCTTACTAGATAGGAGAAAACTGATTACTATCTTCAACCTTCCCCAGTACTGGTAGAGCTTTGTTGTCTTGCCAACAATAGTTTTTTAAAAGGTGTAGCATTGTTGGAGCTTTCCAATCATAGTAATTAATTTTTTCCCACATCAATTGCCCATAATCTTGTTTTCCCATCGTGGCTAGGACGTGGGTCTTGCTTCTCAGTAAATTTTTGTTTGTTACTTCCTTGATCTTTGAAAACTAATTACATGCGCACATCTTTTTAGTTTAATTGAAACAATTTCTTGTAACCATCATTCCTTTAGTTATTTAAGCCCTCCGAAGCTCTAATTCAAGAATCACTTGACTTTCATTGTTCTTGAAACCTTTGCCTCTTAGTGGTTTTTATTTTGTTTTACAAGTTTTGAAATATCGTAGAACAACTTGACTAGATTCCCTTTCAGTGTGTTTACTACATATTTTTCTTTCTTTCTCAAAGATTTTCTCTAAGGAACTTGAAGCATTTCTTGCATTCTCAATCTATTAAGCTATTCATAGCTATTGCAAGTTCTCGTTTGAAATTTTTTCGTTCTTCAAATTAGCTTTCTCCTCTTCCACAACTACCTTTTTCCCTTGGCTTCTAAGAAAAATTTAACAAAACTTGCCCTCCCCCTTCGTCAAAAAATTGGTCTTGAGGAGGCATAGTTCTTTGAAGAAACCCTTTAAGGGGAAACCTCTATTACTATTGAATCTTATGCCAAATGAGTGCATAGTAGTATTACAAAAAAGGATATTGGATGTATTCACGCCTAATTCTGCATTCCTTGCTCTGTTCTTTTGAGGGTTCCTTTGAATAATGAATGAGCTTGCAACTTTTGTGAAGGTGAGGTCTGTCTTTATGAAATTGCATTTACTATACACTCAGGTTGCCTATTCACCCTTATATCTATAATTTGTTGTCTTTTTCTGAATGTTGCCCCTACTCAACTTACTCCCAATAGCTGGAGAATCTTAATTGGGCTTGGAGTTCTCTAGAGTTCTACTCATGCTATGGGAGTGTTTCCATTGGTGGGGAAGATCCTCCATTATTTTCAAATCAAGGTTGGCATTAGGCCAAGCTATGGGTGGTACTATTTGACCAAGAGGCTTGATAGTACCAACCTATTAACCAAGGTTCCTATTCTTTCCAAGGAATGGAAAGATGGGTTTTTCTTCATTTTTGGTTCATGCTGGGAATTCAGTCCTTCGAAACTCTGGTGGCAAACCTAGTTAGAATCCTGTATTGATGGGGTATAGTGCCTCCTCCTTCTGCTAATTTTAATTGCATCCCTTTGAGTACCTTTTTCCATTCAATTTGAAAAACAAGAAACCAATAGTTCCTTTGTGTTGCAGTTGATAGTGCAACCCTACTGGATGAGTTTCAGGATAGGGTGAAGTTGGTTCAAAACCACAAAGTTAATGAATTCAGTCTTCTAATGACCTACAAGAATTTGTTCAAATTCAAGCTGGGGCCTGAACCACAATCTTTTCTCATTGTTGTTGTTGCTATCAAGAGTAAGGTGTCCACCTCTTTCTTTGGAGTAGGAAGCTTTCCTTTAATCTTTGGTAATGGTTTAACCTTCTTTGCCTTTTCTTTGTCTTTAGGTCAATTGCCAAGACTCGAGCCAAAACTTAATAAAAAGGCCCTTCGAGATGTTAGGGCTCAGCAATCTTTTGAAGGCTTTACCATTCCCCTATGCCAATTGTGAAAAGGTTGAGGTCAAGGGCTCTCCAGTATTAAGTACTTCCCTTGTGGTTTCTAGATCCACAGTGGTCCCTTTGATGAAAAAAAGGTAGAAGATAGTAAAGGGAAAGCTCAAAAACGTGTTTTGCAATATCTCAAAGGGACCATTCATTATGGTCTCTGGTATACAAAGGGAGATATGAAGTTACACGCCTTTTGTGACTCTAATTGGGTGGAAAATTCTGGTGGTCGGTGATCCACCTCTAGTTACGGCGTATTTGTGGGAACCAGCTTGATTTCCTGGTTTGCCAAAAGGCAAAATGTTGTTTCCCGATCCAATATTGAGGCCGAGCATAATGCACTCTCTTTCATCACAACTAAATTATTTTGACTGTGAATGTCATTTCGCGAACTACAAATTTCTTTCTCTTCACCTCCTACATTATTGAGTGATAACATAAGGGCTATCTTGTTAGAATCTAATCCCATCTTTCATGCTGGAACCAAGTTGATGATGTAGATTTCCATTTTATTTGTGAGAAAGTGCTTATTGGGGACATTGTTGTTAAGTATACTAACACAATAGATCAAATTGTCGATGCATTTACCAAAGGTCTTACTTCGGCTCATTTTGCTCAGCTCCGTGCCAAACTGATGATCCCACTACCTCCCATAAGCTTGCGAGTGGGTGATAAGAATCCTACAAATACTTCTCCACAAGATTATCCATCTTCTCAAGCTAATCCATTTACTGCTCTATCTTCTGATGAGTTCCCTGCTGCTCAAGATCATCCACCTGATTTATCTATACATGTTAATTATCATTAATTTAGATTTTGTATCTTTTATGTTTGGATTTTGTATAATCCTCATGTACCTTGTATCCTTATATGAATAGCATATACAGTTTGGCCATGGAGTACCAAAACTCATTTAGACATTTTCACAAACACTTTCATTAACCAAAACAAATAAATTCCTTAGCTTTACCTAACCATGAACGGGAAAGTGTCTCTCACTCGCTAGAGGGGTAGAGTTTTTTCTCTGTCTTACAATGTCGGTATCTTCCTTAGTTCAAACTAATGGAAGTTTTTGTTTTAAGGTTTCTTTTCTGGTCATCTATAAGGGTGGATTGTTAGAGCGTCGTTACCTTTCTTGCCTAGTTAGGTTATTATAGGTTGTTTCTTATAGAGGTCATCATACTAGTTAAACTTTTATCTTGCTTATCTATTTCTGTGTAGATGTTGAATTAGTCCACCTGGCTCAATGAGGCTGGCTTGCTAGAATGGTTCTAACTTTGGGGTGAGTGGTCTTCTAGATACTATAATGGATGAGGAGATGCAACAGTTGTGGCGTAATTTTACACTTGTCGATGAGGAGAGTCTTGGAGTTCATCTTCTAGATCAAGGAGATGGTGATTTTGGGGAGAAAGACAAGTTGTGTTTCTTTGGTAAAGTTCTATCAATTAATCTTTACAATAAGATGGCTTTCAAAACTACAATAAAAAAGGTTTGGAATATTATGAAAGTGAAATTTATAGAGGCTAGGGACAATCTGCTCTTTATTCAGTTCAGTAATATGTTGGACAAGAATAGAGTTCTTGAAGGTATGCCATGGTCCTTTGCTATCCATTTAGTTTTGTTGAAGGATTATGATGGTACGTTTTAGGCTCCTAAAGTATCATTTAGTGGGTGTTCTTTCTGGGTCCATATCTATAACTTGCCATTCAATAAAATGAATCAAGAAACTGCAAAAATTATAGGCAATAAGATACGATGCTTTGTTAAAACGGATTTGATAAATGGAGTAGGATGGGGGACATGTTTGAGAGTTCAAGTGATCATTAATATTGAGAAACCTCTCCTAAGCAGTATGAATATTAAAGGGATGGGGGGGGGGTCAAGTTCCACTGTGTTTTTCAAGTATGAAAGATTGCCTCATTTTTGTTACCATTTTGGACGATTTGGCCATGAGGAAAGAGAATGTTTGTCAAGACTGTATTCACCAATCCCAGTTATGAAAGGACCGATGCAGTTTGGGGTATGGTTGAGGGCTTTAGTGGGTAGATGGTTGAAGAGTACAACAATGCAAAGGCCGGTGAGGATAAATTATCGGTGGTGAAGAACAATGGCGTTTCTCTGAAGAGTAGACCAGAATCATTGGAGCAATCTCACAAAGTTGGGAAAGTGGTGAATGAACTGAGTAACATGGGAGTGAATGGCTTAATATCTAGAGTTGAAGAAATTCCTATTACAGAGAGTATAAGTGGGAGGCAGAATATGGAAAGAGGAATGATAGGAGAACTAATAGAGCCTTTAATTAACAAGCCAATCCTTTATTAAAGGAAACCAAGATAATCGAGGAAGGAAAACCTAGGAAAATTGAAAACATAATCTCAGTGAATAAAGGTAGTTCAGATGTAATTATTGAGGTTGATATCCCAATGGAGGCGTGAAGTAGCTTGAAAGGATCTCGGGCCATAATTAAGGATCCAAAGTTAGTGGATGAAGTGGGGGGCCTTAGAGGAATGGAGTACCCAATCTGGGTCAAAATGTGACAGGGTGGCCCAATGGGCTATTATGATTTTGTGGACATGCCCATCTCTTTTATAGCCCAACCCAAAATCCTACCTAAGTTGGGGGAAACAAAGGCATTTGAAAAAATAACTGCAATCAAGATCCGATAGTCACGAAGAAATGGAGAAGAAAGGAGAAGGGTTCTACACCTCTAGTTCGAAAAAAACCCCAGAGGATCCCAACAGAAAACAAAAGCATGGAGAAAGCAAAGAGAAGGGTTCTACACCACTAGTTCGAACAAAACCCCAGAGGATCCCAACGGAAAACAAAAGCATCGAGAAAGCAAAGAGGCTTTGGTTTCAAGTTTCGGAGGGAGTGCAAAGAAAAAAGATAGGGTAAGTCTTGACCTAAGGGCTTTAACTTTGGTAGAAATGGAAGAGGTAACGGTGAGAACTGGTCTCTAGTCCCACTGATCATCATGAAACTCTTTTGCTAGAACTGTAGAGACTAGGGCATCCTCAGACAGTTTAGGATCTACCGATTTCTTAAAGAAATAGCGGCCCAATTTTGTCTTCCTATCGGAGACAAAGCATAATGCTAGGAAAATTGATTTTTTTGAAAATGACGTTTGGCTTGTGTGGAGTGGCTATAGAGTCATAAGGGAATTCATGGGGTTTAGCGTTGTTTTGGCAGAAAGAGTTGAATGTAGTGTTGTAGAGCTATTTCCGTAGGCATATCAATGTTTTGGTTAATGAGAAGGGAGAACTCGGATCATGGAGGTTAACGGGAATTTACAGGGAACCAGAGATATCGAAGCGTGGTAATACTTGGGCTTTGTTAGCCCATCTGAGAAATAGAAATAATTTGCCTTGAGTATGTGTTGTGGACTTCAACGAAATAGTTTCATAAATCGAAAAGAAGGGGAGAGGAAGAAGGGCGGAATGGAAAATGAGAGATTTTCATCAAGCTTTGAACAATTGTGCATAATTGGATTTGGGGTATATAGGATTCCCCTTGACTTGGTGCAACAACTAGAAGGAACCTAACACTGTGTGGGAAAGACTTGATAGAATGTGTGCAAACCTGGCATGGATGATGAGACTTCCTAATTCAAGAGTTTGTCACAAATTCTCAAAAGAATCTGACCACTACAAAATTTTACTGGATAGTAATTTGGGGCTGTCGACTCATGTGTGGCATCCAAAGAAAATATTGTTATGAATTGAAGTACCGTGGGTGAAGAGAGAGGATGTGAGGAGATTATTGAGAAGGCTTTGAAATTCTAGTGATCATCTTTCAGGGGTCCATGGGTTCACAAAATAAATACAAAATTGTAGAGTGGAGCTACTTAAGTGGAAACAGGTGCATGTTGGTCATTTTCTAGTTAAGATAGAAGCCTTGAAAGGCAAGCTAGCAAATATAAAGGAAAACGACATAACAAAGAACTCGAGGCAACAAGCTCAATTTGTGGCTATGAAATTGAATAATTTACCTGATATGGAGGAGTCTTATTGGCGTCAACGCTCGAGAGTTCATTGGATGAAGGAAGGGGGATAAGAATACAACCTTTTTCCATGCCTGGGCATCCTAACGGCGAAGAAGGAACACAATTATCAAGCTCAAGAATGGTGAAAGAGGCTGGTGTGAAAATGCAGATGAAATGGAACAAGTGTCTTTAGGGTATTTTAAGAACCTATTTAAGTCCAGCAGACCACAAACCCAAGAGTTAGAGGTCGTTTTAAGTAAGGTGGACCACAAGGTGTCGGAAGGAATGAACTCAAGGCTTTTGCAGACTTTTCAACTTGATGAGGTAACAATTGCATTATCTCAGATGCTTCCTACTAAATCCCCCAGTCCTGATGGTATGCCCCCTCTTTTTTTCCAAAATTATTGGCATATTGTTGGGTTGGATGTCGCAAATTGTTTGAGTTTTCTCAATGGTGGTCAATTTCTAGTTAAGTTCAACTATACTCATATTGTCCTCATTCGTAAATGTGAAAATGTGGACTCTATGCATGAGTTTCGTCCAATCAGCTTGTGTAATGTTATTTATAAAATTATTTCAAAAATTTTAAGCCAATCGCTTAAAGATGCTCTTCCCTTGGTGATTTCAGATTCTCAAAGTGCTTTTCTTCTTGGGCGGTGGATCACCGACAATGTGTTGGTTGCTTTTGAAATTAATCACTTTCCAAAATGTAAGAATTGGGCTAAAATGGGACATGGTTCTCTGAAATTGGATATGATCAAAACTTATGATAAGTTGGAGTGGGTGTTCTTGGAAACAATGATGATCACTTTGGGCTTTGATCATAAATGGGTTACTTTGGTGATGACATGCATTACAACTGTCTCGTATTCCATCTTGTTGAAAAATGATCAAATGGGTTTTGTTAAGAGTATTAGTGTAGTATATGTAAATTGTTAATAGTGTTAAGGTATTATGTGTAAATACAAGAAGGTGAATGTGTAATTCTTATTATTATGAGTTAACTATAAATACAAGTGATGTATGAGAGCTAGGTTAAGTTTTAATCTCTCTCTGTTTCTCTTTAATATTGTGTTAATCTTCTACAATTGACATGGTATCAGAGCAAGTACGATCATAAATATATATTCTAACTAAATTAATTTTGTTCGTCGTGATGATACTATTGTCTGTTTGTCGAAACTATCATGGTGGTGGTGGTACTGTGTTAAGGTGGTTGCTATCGTGATGGTGACACTGTGTTGTGGAGGTGTTGCTTCGTGGTGGTGGTAATCATGTGGTGGTGGTATTCGACGTTGGCGTTGTCGACTTGGTGGCGCCTTGCTTCGTAGTGGCGTAGTCAACGTTGGTGCAGTCGACTTGGCTGCGCCTGGTGGTTTGCTTCGTGGTTGTGCAATCGGCGCTGGTGTAGTTGTTGTTGCAAAAATTTAGGGTTTGTAGAGTAACCCTACTAAGTGAAGAAAACGAAGATCCAAGCGAGTCGGTTTTCGGGTTATGAATCCAAGTCCAAGGGCATAACTACTCTTAAGCCCAGATCTAGATCCAAACTAGGATCTAGATCCAGACCCAAATCCAGATTTAGATCTAGACCTAGACCAGGTCCGGTTCTAGTAGCCTTCAGACTAGACCGATCTAAGTCCGGTTCAGACCCGATTCATCGGTTCAAACTGGTTTCTTCAGTCCTTTACTCCGGTTTAGTGTTCCAGTTCAGTTGTTGCTCCGGTTCATAGGTCCAGTTAGTTTCTACAGATCAGTTCAGAGGTCTAGTAAGCTTTTGTAGTCCAGTTTACCTAATTTTTTACATCGGTTCAACCTAGTTTAGTTGGTTTCTTCTCTGGTTCAACCTAGTTCAATTAGGGTATACTTCGGTTCATTAGTCCAACACCCTCAGCCTATCCGGTTCAGCCTTCCAGTAGTCTTTTTTTCTCTGGTTCAGCTTTGTAACACTTCTTGTTTGCTATTTGCTGCACTATTATGGAACCTAAGCAAGATACTAGTTCCCTCATTCCATCTTTGCCTCCTACGACTCTTATGAATGGTCCGATGACCTCTGTCAAACTCAATAGGACTAATTACACTTTATGGTCTCGATCTGTTTAGGTCTTTCTTCGAGGCAAAGGATTTAAGAAATATTTGGTGGGTCCTAAACCCAAGGAAAACACTCTTGGGTATGATCAGTGGGAACAAGATAACGCTCAAACTATTTATTTACTATTGAATAACATTGAGCCTAGTATTAGTTCTACTCTACTCTACCTTGACACTGCTAAGGAGATATGAGATCACTTGACCACTATGTATTCTGGTACAAGTAATTTTACCCAACCTTATAAGGTGTGCAAGGAGTACTTCCGGCTGGAACATAGTACTTTGAGTATTAAGGATTATTACTCTCATGTTTGANGGTTTGTAGAGTAACCCTACTAAGTGAAGAAAACGAAGATCCAAGCGAGTCGGTTTTCGGGTTATGAATCCAAGTCCAAGGGCATAACTACTCTTAAGCCCAGATCTAGATCCAAACTAGGATCTAGATCCAGACCCAAATCCAGATTTAGATCTAGACCTAGACCAGGTCCGGTTCTAGTAGCCTTCAGACTAGACCGATCTAAGTCCGGTTCAGACCCGATTCATCGGTTCAAACTGGTTTCTTCAGTCCTTTACTCCGGTTTAGTGTTCCAGTTCAGTTGTTGCTCCGGTTCATAGGTCCAGTTAGTTTCTACAGATCAGTTCAGAGGTCTAGTAAGCTTTTGTAGTCCAGTTTACCTAATTTTTTACATCGGTTCAACCTAGTTTAGTTGGTTTCTTCTCTGGTTCAACCTAGTTCAATTAGGGTATACTTCGGTTCATTAGTCCAACACCCTCAGCCTATCCGGTTCAGCCTTCCAGTAGTCTTTTTTTCTCTGGTTCAGCTTTGTAACACTTCTTGTTTGCTATTTGCTGCACTATTATGGAACCTAAGCAAGATACTAGTTCCCTCATTCCATCTTTGCCTCCTACGACTCTTATGAATGGTCCGATGACCTCTGTCAAACTCAATAGGACTAATTACACTTTATGGTCTCGATCTGTTTAGGTCTTTCTTCGAGGCAAAGGATTTAAGAAATATTTGGTGGGTCCTAAACCCAAGGAAAACACTCTTGGGTATGATCAGTGGGAACAAGATAACGCTCAAACTATTTATTTACTATTGAATAACATTGAGCCTAGTATTAGTTCTACTCTACTCTACCTTGACACTGCTAAGGAGATATGAGATCACTTGACCACTATGTATTCTGGTACAAGTAATTTTACCCAACCTTATAAGGTGTGCAAGGAGTACTTCCGGCTGGAACATAGTACTTTGAGTATTAAGGATTATTACTCTCATGTTTGAGGAGTCTATGAGGAGATGAAGACCTATCATCCGTTTACTACTGATGCAGCAGTTTGGCAGAAGCAACATAAGGACATGAATGTTGTTTGGTTTTTGGTAGAATTGAAACCTGAATATGAGGCTATTCGTTCTCATATTTTGGGTGGTTCTGGTCTTCCCTCACTACTTGAGATTTTCTCTCGTATCTAGCGTGCTACTTTTTCTACTTCAGGTATCAATCCTGATGTTTTCACTGATCGCTCAGCTCTTGTGGTTCCTAGTAGCCATAGTAATGGTCATCGAGGTGGGCATAGTAGTCGAGGAGGTCGTATGGGTGGTTGTGGGGGCCGTAGTGGACCTCGTTCCTATACTTATTGTGGTCGTGGAGGGCACACTGTTGATTTCTATTAGGATTTATATGGAAAACCTTCTGGTATGGAGAATCAGGTTTCTTATCAGGATGACAACTCTGTTGCTGCTTCCATACCTCGGTCAGCTCTACCAGACACTAGATTGGTTACTATTACACAAGCAGAGTATGCTCAGTTCCTGTCCCAGCAATAGGCTGTTCCATCTCCTCCACTACTACTTTTGCTCAGTCAGGTACTGCTTCCACTTGTTTATTGTCCTCCACTCGTAGTCCTTGGATCATAGACTCTAGCGCCTCTAACCATATGACTAGTGCGTTTGATGTTTTTTCTACTTGTCAGTCTGCT